TACCGCTGCTGTGGATATCGGCCGGAACCGTGAGCTTTAGGAACTGAACACGAGCACTGAGCAGCTCGCATGATGGAGGGAGGTGAAGGAGTGTGGCTAATTTCTATCCAAAGACCCATACATGTTAGCGCACAGAAAGCAGAAGTACCGAGACGCTCGGTCCGGCACTGACCAGGGATTAGCATGGTTCACTCACCTCGAGCCTCAAACCTATATCCCGCAGTTCAACGGTACTACGTTGTCCCCAGCGGATACCTAGACTATCAAGATCTAGTGCTTCCGTATCGACAAGCTCCAGGCGGGACAAGGCATATCTGAGCAACCGCTTCTGAAAGAACGAGGGCAAGAAGTAAGCCATTTTGGTGGGAGAAGGAGCCGACCGGGGCTCATTTAAAGATCGCAGGTGTCATCGGGTGGGTTTCATAATATTAAAAGTGAACGCTGGGCGGATGGGATGCAAGGCTAAGGCTTGGACGGAACTTCCCCCAAGGGGACAAACAGATGCGGAGGGTTGTTGGGTATGGACCGATTAGAATGACGTTCGGGGAAACCCAGCGCTAGTGCTAGCTTAGTTACTGTATTTATCAGTACTAGCAATCAGATAGCGACGGTCGGATCAACCACCGCAAAGTCAGGCGGAGCTCGTCATAATTGATTGGAGTGACCGAAAGAAAACCACACCGTGACAACTCATACATACGTCAAATGTCGGTAGTGGGTGGTATTGAGTTGTTCAGTTGTTAGAAACTATCCTAACCACCAGATCTTAAAGCGCGTCGACCAAGTGAACCGTGGCAACCCAACGAGGACACTGCCGGTTTAGGGTAGTCTACGCGTGATGGATCTTCTTCATATCATCCACTTTGTCACGGGCGCGTGGTTTCCACAGCACTCAGACCAGTTACAACACAAACAACAAGTCTGTGGATCTGGTTTCAGTCCCTGATCGTTTCTCGACCGCCTGTTAACTTCGACCTTTTCAAACCGATAGCCATACTCAATAAGGCAGAGTAGGCAGTGGTTAACGCTAAAGATTACCGAGGCTAAGAATACTAGTCCGGGAATAAATTACTATAATTACATTCCGGTAGATCATCGAAACGTATGGCCGTTATTATCTCTGCGAACGACTCATCGCATCATCAACATACCTTGCGTTTCACGTGACTGGACGATCACGGTATATTCCTGAGTCAGTCATCTGCATTCAAGCTCCACTGTGGGTATGGCATTCCGGAGTCTAGTCGTATGTACTTCATAGGGGCCTGAACAGGGTTCTAACGAGTCCTGATTATGTCTAGAGACACAAGATCTCAGTGGTATTATACATTAGCTATTAATTCCATCAATACACTTAAAGCTTAAAACTAAGATATATCCGCTTCAGCGAATTCCAGTGCTATCCACTCGCAGAATTTCTCGAAGCCAGCATACCAGTCCCGTAAACGGGCGGCCTTTATGCCTTCACCTAGTATTCCCTCTCGAATATCCGACTGCCATTCGACTGTGGACTGGTCTTCATAGCAGCTCCACCGGATTGAATTCTCCACCATCATCGCAAGGCCCGGCAGCTCAAGGTTATCGGGGCCCTGAAGTGCCTGCCAAAACTCAAACGTCAAGCTATTCAATCCACGCTCGGAAAGGTCTGGAAGGTAGCTGCTAAGAGAAACAGGGACGCCGCGGGATAACAGAACGGAAAGCAGATCAACCTGTGTAGAATCTGTTTGGCCAGTGATACCCTTCACAATAGGGCAGCACTCGACAAGGATCCTCTTTTCCTTAATCAGCTCTAGGAGCAAGGGATGCTTATATAGGGACTCTCCAGGACCAAGCCTCCTGGCGCCAAGTAGAATCGCATCATATAGGTCGTGTTCAGCCTGTTTGTCATCACATCCATTTTCACCGGTATGGAACAGGAAAGGGATATCCACCCCTTCTTCAGCGCATTGTTTTCGGAACCAGAACAGGATGGGAACGAGGTCGACAAGCGATCTGGCATCACCTCCTTGCCCTATCACATCGAATCCACAGATCACCTCTGGAAAGTCCTGCTTCGCCAGGATACAGTTTATCATGCTACCAGATATCTCTCTGTTTGACAGTGTGCGTGAAGCCGTCCAAATGATGCGTGCTCCACAGAACGTCTTCCCTCCTTCGGTGCCTCTGAAACGCTCAAGTTCCTCCTGAAATGCACGACACCATGCAGAATAGTCTTCTTCGGGAGTAGAGCTTCCTTCCTGTATGTATGGGAATGTAAAAGAATTCCTAATTTCCACATAGTTTATGCCGTCGGCAGCAATTTGCGAAAACATCTGACGAAGGCATGAGCGGAAGATGGGCTCGTAGCTTAAAAGAGAGATAACAACAGATGATAAAGTCTTATAGGTATCGTCGGATCCATGGTGATATGAATGCGCTGAAGCGAAAGTACATCGCTTCTTCAGCCAGGCATGAAACCCAGCTTCTCCGCCGTCGGGAAACGATGACGCCGCCTTTTGTAAGCTGACTAGCCTAGATGGTTCGTAGCTGGGGTCCCATAACGTAGGCTCGTTCTCCAAGTTTTGTACCGGCGGCGAGTATCGGAAGTAGAAAATCCCTTCTTCATAGTCCTGTTGAGAAGCCAAAGGCTTTGGCGCATATATGTGGATGCCGGGTGTTTTGAAGGCCTCCGCTATTACAAAGTCGATATCCAACATGGTCTCCATGTGCGCATGGAGCAGTGACCCCTTCGGCATCTTCTGTAAGATTCTCCATAGGTCTGTTTTTTGCACCTCATCCCTGGTAAGGTGGGATATGCGACTCGTCTGAGGGGTAGAGGTTAACTGGCGGGGATTTCCCTCGTTCAGCCCTAAATTTGTCAGATCGTGGGCGCGTATCTTAGAAACAATGTCGCAAGCCTTCCTAGCTACTGGCGACAAGGCTTTGCGAAGATTGGTGTCTATAATTCCAAGTTTGGTGAGTAATGAGCTCGGTTGATTGTCTGACTACCTGTGGGGAACTGACCATATCGCTGCTTTTGCTCCTCCAATACGAGGGAGGTACGACCCTTCAGGTACTGTTGAATGAAAGGGTCGTCAACCTGGGGTATCCCTTCTTCTAACTCCCAGTCGATATCGCTTGAGTTCATAGCGGACGTATAGCTCGGTTGAAGAAAAATGATGATGGAGGTCGAGGAAGGGGCAGAGCATCGATGACATTGACAAGGTCACCGTTCCCCGCTTGAGGTATAGTGGGCCATGTTTGTTTGCGGCACAACCTAACTTTATCCGAAATGCCGACTTGATCTGGCAATTGGGTGGTTGCTTCGTACAGAGGACAGTGTACAGAATATCTCATCGTCTGCGAGAGTTAATCGGACGAAACATTTCTCGAGACATGTGATTTAGTTGAAGGGAAATTGAATAGCAACAAAATACCTAGGCATCCGAAAGGTCACGGGGGAACGCCGATGTAACCTAAGAAGACAATATGAAAGTGGACAATGAACGAGCCGTCCCGGGGCAAGTCTCATCCCGCTAAATTGCACCCCAGAAAAGTACTCCTCCGGAGTATAGATGGCCATGGGCAAAAGTAAGACGATCACAATTGGTGAGTTACCCCGGATCGTCGTTCTCATAACTAATTCTGTATAAAGGCCTGACCAAAGTCCGGCAATCTCCGTATATACATCGCATTGTGCAGCGATCAATGTCACCGTAAATCAGGGAAGAGTATTGGTGGCTTGGCAGTCCGAGAGCTTATCAAGCCCTATCAGAAGCCCTTGTTTGTTGGTTGCACCGTGGTGAAACGAGGGCTCGGCAACACTCCGGCGTACACCGATACAAAGGGATTCATCAAATGTTATCGGGTTTATACTAGTACTCGTTGGGCTTGGCACCTGAGTCGAAAGTGCGGTTAGTGTCGGTGTGCTTTACCCCTTTGAGCCCATAGCGCTAATTTCATGTACTCCAGAGTGGTTGGGGAGCTAAGGTATGCCCACTGTGGTGCCTTCTTCAGCACTTCAAGGTGGATATCATTTTCAAATAGAAACTGTATTCAAACCTCCACAACCACGGCTCGGTGTATTAGTGGAGAACCCTAACCTTATAACAATCAATCACACATAGTAACATCGAAAGGAATATTCAGGGCCAAAAATACCTGGCTTGATAGTTTATTTTCATCTCCCAAGGGGAGAACGGTATTAACCTAAAATAGAGAGGGCGGCACACGAGCGACTTCTTTTGTGCGGAGATTCAATGTCAAGGTGTCGGCAGACTAAGAAAACTTTGGCCTCTCAGCGTTGATCTTCCGCCAATCTATAGCCTCGGGCTTGTAATCTTGCCCCTAGTGACGTTTTAGTGCTGCAACAGTCTTATCACTACGGAAGACAAGAGAAAAAAAAAAGTCTTTGCCACTCTCCATAACCTGGGATTGGATAAGTGGAGTTTTAACTTAGCTTCCTTCGAAGAATTTTTTTTCTTTTACTTTTCCATTACTGGTTGAATCCACCACCCAGCCACACACGGGTTGTAGATGGTCTGCATGCTGCTCCAGCAAAAGGCATTGGGGAGAGAACGTAGAGAAGAAAGAGGGAAAAAATTCCCCTAGACATCCAGAACAACCGTAGAAGACTAGCCACTAGCGTCCTGTATAGTTGAGAACACCATGCCATGAGACAAGGTCTTAAGGTTAAGAACATACACTATCCCCGCTTACTGGGTTGTCAACCGATAAGTCCCAGCCTTGCATCGGTCAGTCTTTCCTCTAACGGCCTTATCTCAGGTGGACATGGCCTGAGCTGAAATTTTTACTCGTCTAACACACATTCCCATTATCTTATTATCAGACCCCAATCAATTCACATCTGGGTCCATGCATTTAATAATAAAATCCTATTAATCCTCCCCCGGTCCTGCCCCGTCAGTGAAATATTGATTACATTTTGATCTTGCCACAGCCTTGAACAGATCAACGGGATTAACCCACGTGCTACTTGATACGTTACAAGCGGCGTGGTGATGGTGGATGAGAAGAGACTGGAAGACAACGGCACGTCTGCGAGTCACGCGATCTCCTATACTATGCCTACGATGGAGGAAGCTACGCCACAGCATCATGGCGCAGTTCCTAATGCGCAACGAGATATTGAAGAAGATATCACTTACACGAAAGATGTGCACTCCGAGAAGAGAGAACTACCAGAGTCGGGTTCTCTCGATAGCAGTGGCCAGAAGAAGGATGATAAAGACGAGGAGGCAGGTGAAAACGTTCCGTCGCGGTCGTGGCGCCGCTATCGCCCGTGGTTGAAGCATGTTGTCTACGCCGTCATCTGGCTCTTGTTCACCGGGTGAGTTGTGCCTTCTTCGAGCTGTCGGGGACACCTGCCAGCGAGGTAGCTGTCATCTTTTCAAAGCTCATTATGTCACTTATAGCTGGTGGATTGCCGGTCTCATCCTCCACCGGTATGATCTGGGCTGGTTGATCCCATTTTTGCTCTACCTCGCGATTACATTGCGCCTCATCTTTCTCTATGTTCCCATCTCGATTTTAACCAGACCAGTCTACTGGATATGGAACAAGACCGCTTCACGATTCGTCGACATGATCCCAGAAAAGCTAAGAATCCCCAGCGGTGCGCTCTTGACGATTGCAGTGATTATCGTCGGCTCTTTTGCCTCGCCGGAGTCTGCTGACAATACCCGCGCAAATCGGGCCGTCAGCCTCTTTGGACTAATTGTTTTCCTCTTTGTCTTGTGGCTTACCTCAAGAAATCGGAAGAAGATTATCTGGCATACTGTCATCGTGGGAATGCTTGTGCAATTCATCATCGCACTCTTCGTCCTCAGAACCAAGGCGGGATATGATATCTTTAATTTCATTTCCACGTTGGCCAGAGAACTCTTGGAGTTCTCCAGACAAGGTGTGGATTTCTTGGTGGAAACTGGTTGGGCCGATAAGCACAGCAGCTGGTTCCTCGTGAGTGTGGTCCCGGCTATCATCTTCTTCGTGTCTATCGTGCAGTTACTCTACTACACTGGAGTTCTCCAGTGGGCAATTGGCAAGTTTGCCGTATTCTTCTTCTGGGCAATGCGCATCTCGGGAGCTGAAGCTGTGGTGGCAGCTGCATCTCCTTTTATCGGACAAGGCGAGTCGGCCATGCTTATCAAGCCTTTCGTTCCCTATCTTACGATGGCGGAAATTCACCAAGTCATGTGCTCTGGATTCGCTACCATCGCAGGATCAGTCCTGGTATCCTTTATCGGAATGGGTTTGAACCCCCAAGCGCTGGTTTCCTCGTGCGTGATGAGTATTCCGGCATCCTTGGCAGCATCTAAGCTGCGCTGGCCCGAGGAAGAGGAAACGCTGACAGCTGGCCGTATTGTCGTCCCTGAAGATGATAGCCACAAAGCAGCCAACGCCCTTCACGCATTCTCCAACGGAGCCTGGATGGGTATTAAAATTGCAGGCATGATTGCCACTACACTTTTGTGTATCATCTCCCTTGTGGGTCTTGTTGACGGCCTGTTGACCTGGTGGGGTCACTACCTGAACATTTACGAGCCTGATTTGACCATTGAGCTCATTGTTGGCTACATCTGCTACCCGATTGCATTCCTTCTTGGTGTCTCCCGCAACGGTGATCTCCTGAAGGTCGCTAAACTCATCGGCACCAAACTTGTTATGGTAAGCTCCATTGCCTTTGGTTCGAGAGAACCACAAACATGCTAACAGACTCCGAACAGAACGAGTTCATCGCATACGATTACCTACAGAACAAAGATGAATTCCAAACCCTGTCACCCCGCTCCCGGCTGATCGCCACTTATGCCCTGTGCGGTTTCGCGAACATCGGTTCTCTCGGAAACCAAATTGGTGTGCTGGCCCAACTAGCACCCAGCCGAGCTGGTGATGTGTCTCGTGTTGCCGTCAGCGCCATGCTCACAGGCGCCATCAGTACTCTGACGAGTGCGGCCATCGCGGGTCTTCTAATCACGAATGAAGAGCAATACCTCTCAACATCCTCATAACAATGCGGGGACATTGGATCTGAGCATGTGTCGTGCTACTTGAACTGTACTATTTAATTGCGGGTGTTCTTTTACCGTTTTCTTCCCTGTTCGCTATTTGCTGTCCATTTCGAAGCAGAAGTATGTATATACGAGTCCAGGAGCTCACGATCTCAACTCTTTTCTTGATGCAATGACTTCATTAAGAGTCTTCGGTTCATTGCTCTGTGAGCAGTAAATACTATATGAATATTCCGATCATTCTTACTGCGTCCCATTTGTGGATGTATCTCTTCCCATCTATTCTGTCGTTATTCCCGTACGGTCTTCCTGTGGCTGCTGTGCTTACGGGTGACTGCACTCAAAGCTACAGTATTCGATCCCGTATGTATCCCAAATAAACTAATTCGATCCAGCGCTTTACGGGGTAACTGTCCTGTCTTCCCCTTTTGCTCTCTCAGCAATGCTATCCATATCTCTGATAGCAAAAACACTGTGTTTCTCATAGTCAGACATTGTGCATCTTTTTCGGCAATTGATGCCGCTGTCCGTGCACATAGACTGACTGGCAGCTCATCGGTTACTGACACCCATGTATGTATATCTGCCCATCACAGAAAAGCCAGCAAATCCAACCACCCTCAAATCAATTGTAATAGATAGGGCCGTCCTAGCTGACTCGGGATTTTATGGTCACGCCGGATCAAGTGTGGCAGGAGGATACTGGAGGGCCTGGCCGCTGGATATCCATAGCATCTTAGTACGCAAGACAGTTGAGGTAAAAATCATTAGAGAAGTATGTTTAACCATTATTAAGTTGCAGGACAAAGAAAGGATCATATTTATTCCACGGGTGCGAGCACTCTTATACCTGAGTTAAACTCGCGGTCCCATAACAGAAGGTGAACCCAACGCATAAACTCCAGAACCATTTGTATCCCTTATGCATCGAACCATATCCCCGAGCCAAAATGCAGGAGTGACAAAGTCTCCAGTGAGACGCCCCAAGAAACGACGACGCACAGACCCTATGCAAAGCATCCAAAAGAAACATGGTCTGTCCTTAACGCCACATCACGGCAACAGCCGACAAAGTCATTACAGTTTACTAGATATCTTCAACGTCGCGGTGTCTCGCAAGGACGTGACGCTTGTATTCTTCCTGGTTTGTATCCCACAGCTCGGCTGCCTGAGCGTTGAGGGGACTGGCACTATTAACAATGTTAGTAAGATGTATGCCACATGCACGAATGTCAATGTCTCACTTGTTTGGCTCTCCGAGCAAGCTTTGCAAGCTCAGGAGAACACTCTGCACGTTGTACACAGCACTCCATTTATCCTTCAAGATATCCAGGCAGATGCGTCCGGAGAAGTCCACATTAGGGTGGTAGATGGGAGTTTTAAAGAGGACGGTTGGTGGAGAGTAAGGATAGTTGTTGGGGAAGGCAAACGAGAGCTTGAATGTCAAGCCCTCATAGGGAGTCTCGTTTGGTCCGCTGATGGTGGCAGTCCAGGAAGTAAGGTTGCCATCGGCGTCAGGAAATGCGGAGATACCAGGAGAAGGCGAGAGCATAAGCTGCATCAGTTCAGCTTGGAGGCTATACGGATGGGTAGAAGTCAGCATAGATTTCCCTTTTATTTATCTTCCAAAGATTATACCGTTTGGTCACGCTTTGGCTGTCATTCCGCTGAGGTGCTGAGTTCAGCTTGGTCGCCTCGAGGGCCTCTGGAGCGGAGTTCTGAGTATCCTCCATAGTGTAGTCCATGGTGACTGTGCCGAGAAAGCGAGGGAGTGGAAATAAAATACTTGGATCCTTCTTAACGAAAGGAATAACGAAAAAAGACTTCCGGAAGGTTGTGGAATGTGAGTGACAGTAGCAGGAGAGGGTTGCTGTCTGGAATGACGCCGAATGCGAATGCGGTACCACAGTTGGCTGGAAGTGGACGGAACGACCCACAGAACGAACCGTCGAGGATCTGATCGGATTCAGAGCAGTCGAAAGTTCCAAGATTGACTTTCGAAACTTGCAATGCAGGGATGGACAGAAAGAATAAGGAACCTTACAGGTGTAATATTATTAACCGCTCGACTGGCGAGGACAAGGGGAAGGCTGGGGTTTTGCAAACGGGGAAACCTTAGAAGGTATTCGAAGGCCTTTTTCGGGCTCCTTTTGTTTACTGTACCAACCAAATAAATGCACCCCCGGCAACGCAGGCAAAAAAAAAAAGCCCCGCCTGATCTCACACCATAAATCTGACTCGTTCTTTCATCGCGCTATTAAATAGAATTTGACTTTAAACTGCCTCGTGAGATGAGGTCGGAGGTTTTTGTATAGCGTGCTCTTTCCGTATGATGCTCTCCAATTCAATGATGGCCTGTACAAGTCGTGTAAAGTTTCGGGTCTCATTTAATCTGTTCTCCAGTGTCCTCAATCAACAGAAAAGCAGTGCTCCGCCACTTAACACACTCCATATGGCAGGCGACACGCCGCTGCGGGTCTAAAAATGTATGACGGGCATTAAACCAACAGCGATCCTTTTTATCACGTTGGTTCCTCCGTAGCAGTCAAGCGAATGGTTGATTTGTTATTTGTTGTTTGATCCTTTATTTCTGCTATATCCGTAAAATGATCTTTTCTTCTCCTGGTATAGCTCATACACATTTCTGCTATCCAATCATTCAACCATATTTCTCTCGTGTTTTGTCCTCATCATGAATGTTGCGCCCGGCGGATCAACATATTACCCAAAGAGGATAAAGTGGCAACTCGCGTGCCGCGTTTCTCAGCCATCTTGACCCTTACCTATCTTCATCTTCCAGGATAATGGGGCTGAACCTGGCTTTTGTATGACAAGGATCTTTCCATCTTTCTACCCAGTCCGACTGATCTCGTACGGTCAGGCTCACAGAGGGCTACGTCAAGATGCACCACTCTCAACTCGCCCCGCTACCAAACGATTTGCCCTTTCGTATTGTGTCCAAGACAATCGGCCAGGGTGCCTACGCGTGGTATGATTATTTTTCTTCTTCCCATGTGATGTGGATTGCACTGTGCACTGCAGTTTGCTGATACTATTTGGTGTCGTTGTATAATAGCATCAAGAAGGCATGTCCATCGCATACGGATAATCCTGTCTTCGCCGTGAAATTCATCCATAAAGAATACGCCGCTCGACATGGCAAGATCAGCCCACGACAATTGCAAATGGAAGCGACGGTGCACAAACACATCGGCGATCATAATAATATAATATCTTTCTTCCAAACCGGAGAGGATGGGGTCTGGAGATGGATCGCCATGGAATTGGCCGAGGGAGGCGATCTTTTTGATAAGATCGAGGCCGATGAAGGTGTGGGGGAGGATATCGCCCATGTTTATTTTTCACAACTTGTCAGTGCAGTGGGATATATGCACTCGAAAGGTGTGGGCCATCGCGATATCAAACCAGAAAACATGCTCTTGACGGCAGATGGGAACCTGAAAATTGCGGATTTCGGCCTGGCAACTTTGTTTGAGTATAAAGGGGTGACAAAGCTTTCCACCACTTTCTGTGGCAGTCCGCCTTATATTGCACCGGAGGTCATTACTTGCAGCAACAAAAACCACATGAAAGGGGTAGGCTACCGACCGGATCTGGTCGATATTTGGTCATGCGGGATTGTCCTTTTCGTTCTCTTGGCCGGCAATACGCCCTGGGATAGCCCGACAGAGAGTAGTTACGAGTTCCACGAATATGTCACAACCAACGCACGGACAAGTGACGAACTATGGCAACAGCTGCCAGTTGCGACATTGTCATTACTACGAGGTATGCTAAACATCGACCCAGCGAGTCGCTTCTCTTTGGAAGATGTTCGGAGGCACCCCTGGTATACACGGCAGAACAGGTTTTTATCTCCGGATGGCAGACTCAGAGACCCTATCAATATGGCTACAACAATGTTCGAGTCTCTTCATATAGACTTCTCTCAGGATCCCCTCGCTCGGCGAGCGAATAGTAGTGTTGATCCTTGTCGAATGGACATGGACATAGGAGATCTGGACACCGACTTCAGAATCTCATCGACGCAACCTGAAATGCCAAGAGGCGACATGCTAGTCGATTGGGATACACCTCACTTAACTGACGTCTTTTCATCCACTCAGCCGATGGGACAGCCTCTTTTTGTGGGTGATACCTATGTAGCTGACACTCTTGAAGATGAGCCGTCCATGTCACAGTTTTCTCCTCATCCATCTGTGCCTCTCAGCCGAACGCAGAAGGCACAGCAATTCCGTGATATAGTCCCATCGCGGCCTCTGACTCGCTTCTACTCTACATGGGAACTCAAAATCCTTGTGCCCCTCATCTGTGAGGCTCTGCATCGCCTGGGGGTGCCCGTGCCATCAGTACCCGCGGTTTCTGCAGGTGACGCGTCAGCAATGATAAGAATTGTCACCAGGGATGGCCGAATGTGCACGCTTCAGGGTAAGGTCATTATTGAATGCGTGTCGGAGGGTCTATTCGAGATTGAACTTGTGAAAGTGAAAGGGGACCCACTGGAATGGCGACGTTTCTTTAAAAGAGTTGCTGTTCTCTGCAAAGACGCTGTCTACAAGCCTGAGGGCTAGGCGATGGTACTTTTTATCAGGCCCTTGAAAGTTTCGTCCGGGCTCAGTCCAACCCTACACATTCATTGGGACTTTGTAATGGGTCCCCTTCTGTACGACTAATATGATTTATGATGGATTGGGTAAAAGATATCAATTGGAAATAGGGGCGTGTGTATGCTCTGAGATATTCGAGGGATCTAAGCAGAGCCTGGCATGAAAATCAATAGCAGCCTTTTATCTTACACTGTATTAAAATCAACCCTCAACATGGGCTTTCTTAAATAAATCGTCTCCACCGCAATGCATGCTAACACGTGACGCCAGTCAGGCTGATCATTGATCGCGGGGAAATTTATAAAAGAAAAGTCTGGAACCCAACAACAAGAGACGGCTTGTCCCACATTTTTGTAGTGAGCCCCAATTGGATCTGTCCGGCCTCGATGGTGTCTCCGGACCAGTTTTCCTCATGGAGAAGCTGCCCGTAGAGATTCTTGCTAAGATAATTGACTGTAAGCGCATCTAATCTCATTGCTTTCGCATCCTCAGCCAGTTTACACTATTCTCCACACTCCGGTCTATTAGTGCGGGTGGTCCTTGTGTAGCATCTTTTGCCACAGTCGCTACACGAGCTAACCATCCTTGTGAAACACCAGATCTCACGCCACATGAACAGGTACAGCTTCAGTCTGTCTCAAAGCGATTCTTCGGGCTCGCGCGGGACAACAACCTATGGAGACTCCATTGTTATGAGCAGTCATGGGCCGCCGCACACGCCTCTTACTCGGCCAACAGGGCCTCGGCACGCCGTGTCACAGATTCCACTACGCCCCTTAGCTCGTTGGGCCAAACTTCTCTTCGTTCCCTAATCCAACCAGATACTTCGCTCTCAAACGGGGATCAGAATGTGTCATTTGCTGAACGGTCAAGAGCGGCGGCAACGTGGGATCCGTCATACGAGGGTGAAGATATCGACTGGTATTCGGAGTATATTGCTCGTAATGGACCGATATCCTTTAATTGGCTCCAGCAGCCCTTTACAAAAGAAAATCAAGGGAAAAAGACGCACCGCGAGGTCAAAGGTATGGGGTTACTGCGGGATTGGAGCTCTGCGCGAGAGAACAAGGCTATCGCGCCATTAGACGACGGCAGTGTTTGCATTTGGGATCTCAACCATTCCCACTCAATCGGGTCTCAGTCTACCAAGGGCAGGATCCTTGGAGTTAGCAAGCCGGGCATCCTAATGGCCAATCTATCTGGCCGGAGGGATAACTCGGCGGCCAAGTCAGGGCTGGAGTTTATTAATCTTGGGGAATGTGTGAGCGTTGACTCAATTCGTCGAAGAGCATATCTTGCTGTTGCCAATGTCTTGAATGAAGTCGATCTCGAGACGCTGAGCGTAATCTCACAGCAGCGTTATCCATGGTCGATCTTTGCCCTATCTCAAGAGACGGATTACTCCGTGCCATTAACTCTAGCTACTACGTTGAGCCTTCATATATACGATGGTCGGCTATCTGCAACCGAGGAAGAAGAGGCGATTAATATACGGTGTGAGAAACCGACACTTTCGTTGGTCCCGAAATCACAGATCTATGCTCCTCCTGATTCCCCCCTTCTCCAACTTCGACCCAACGGACAGCCTCCTCATCGCATACGAAGCCCCAACCCCTTAGATACAGGTGAAGACTATGCTCCTTTGTTCCAACCAGGACCACTTGCCCTACTACATCCCCCAGCCCCTCATGTGAATTCCATATTCCTCGCCGGGCGATTCCCTAGCATCTTGCAATATGACCGACGATTCTTTCCCCGGCTGCAGAACACGATTCACTCGGGAGGTCGACTATGCGGCCTCGCCTCTGTACCAGCCCCACAGTTTCCGCTGTTTTCTGGGTCGTCCTGCCCCGACTCACATAAAGTTGTCGCCTGTGGTGAATACAAAGGCAAAGGCTCCCTTGAGCTATACAGCCTTACGCCGTCGGGTGCGCAAGGAGAGAACGAGCCATCGGATGTATCATCCAGCCTAACACCAGTGTATCAAAACCGACAGAGTTCTGCGAGCCTGAAGGTGCTATCAGTCGAGTCGCACGGCACCCGTATAGTCTATTCCGATGGAGATGGCAACATCAAGTGGGTTGAACGAGACGGCCGAGCCGAAGTTCGTCGTTTCAACATCAACGACTACAAACCTCGTCGAAGGAATGAGCAAGACTTGACTGGATCCAACACTAATATGCATGGTGAGAACGGAGAGGCCCGCGGCCTGTGGAACGACTCCTCTAGTCCTCAGAGTCACGATGAAGTTGCTCGGAAAATTCTACCCACCGGCGGAAATTTAACGGGAGATGAACTCCTCGTCTGGACAGGCGAACGTGTTGGTCGCATTAGATTCGCCGATACGGAGAGCTACGACGAAGATGAAGA